ATCTTCAAAATGTTTTAGGAGATTGAAGAGGTTAGAATAGCATCATTGTCACAGACATCCACGTCTTATAGAAACCTCCAAACGTGCACTCCAATATCACCGAACACAACAATTGTCAACATAAGTGTACATTATGATTGTAAATACTTCTACAAATAGTGATTGTCAATATATCTGAACAAAATAGTTGTCAATATGTCCAGAATGATTGTCGATGTAAGTGTAAGTAATGATTGTCAATATAACTGTACATAGTGACTGTCAATATCACTGAACGCAATGGTTGTAAATATAACTGTACAGAATGATTGCCAATATGACTGTTAATAATGATTGTCAATATTACTGTACATAGTGATTGTCAATATAACTGTACAAAATAATTGTCAATATAACTGTAAGTAATAATTGTCAATATAACTTGACAGTAATTACTGTATATCTGTTGTCTATATCACTGAACATAATGATTTTAAACATAACTGTGCAGAATACAACCGAATGTTATAATTGTCAATATAACTGTACATAGAGGTTGTCTACATGTACCAATTTCACTGAACATAATGGTTGTCAAGATAACTTTACAGAATGATTGTCAATATAACTGCGTATAGAGGTTGTCTACTTGGATATCACTGAACATGATTGTTGTCAAGATAACTGTACAGAATGATTGTCAATATAACTGTGAACAATTATTATTAATATTTAGTATCTTAGGACTGCCAATATAACTGTATACCTGAGCTGTTGTCAATAGCACTATACATAATGATTATCAATGATTCAAAGCACAGTGGTTGTCAAAATTATTCTATATATATATATATATATAGGAAACTTAATATCAACATAAATAAGACCAAGATAATTAAATTCCAAAAAACGGGCATCTCTGCACTGACTATTTCTCATATGGTAGACTCCAAGTTCAATGTGTACAAAAATACAAGTACCTTGGTGTGATATTTCGAGCATCAGGCAGCTTTATATCAGCTCAAACACACCTACATGAAAAAGCTAGTAAGGCAACTTAAAAGATGCCTTCAACAGAGTGATATAAAACCACAGCTTGGGCTTAAACTGTTTGATCAAATGATAAAACCAATTTGTCTATATGGGGCTGAAATATGGGCCCCTTTCAGTCTTAACAAAGTATCCAGTTCAAACCTAGAAGAAGCATACTTAAACCAAAACAAATTCCCCTCAGAAAAATTAAACATATCCTTTTCCAAATTCCTACTTGGAGTTGGTAGAAAGGCCACTAATATGGCTGTTTATGGGGAACTTGGAAGATATCCACTATTTATAGGTATATTTGGCCAAATTCTCAACTTTTTACATCACATTAAAGATACAAAAAATGTTCTAATCAAGGCAGCTTTTGACTGCTCCAAAGAACTGTAGAAGAAAACTCATGGGTTTCAAACGTAAACACAATAATTTGCTCTATTAATGAAAATTGCTCTGAATCTGTGGATTCTACAATTGATACCTTAAGATGTACATCATTACTTAAACTAAAATTTGACAGGTACTGGAAGAATAAATTAAACACTGACACTAGGAAAAATGATAACGGCAATAAACTACGAACCTACAGAACCCTCAAGAAAGAATTTAAATGTGAACATTATTTAAATATAATCGACAGACTTGATATGCGAAGAAACTTAACACGTTTGAGAATAAGTGCGCACAACCTCCAAATTGAGCAAGGGAGATATACAAAACCAAAGAAAACCCCAATTAAAGAAAGACTGTGTGTCCATTGCAATAGTATTGATGATGAAGAACATTTTATGATGAAGTGTAAAAAATATCAAAATGAAAGATTATTACTTCAAACTGAATTGTCTGATAAATACGGCAAAAGCACAAACAAATCAATTTATATACCTCTTAACTTGTATAAATCAAGATTGCATCAAGGTTGCAAAATATATTAGTGATGCCTTCCGAATTTTAGAATACTTAATTTAGAAAGGCTAATTCCTGCTGCGCAAAAAAAAGCATTTTGTAGTAATACATATTTTACATTTTACAGTAGTAAGCATATATTATATGTAGTATATAGTAGTCTAGTGTTAAATCATATATATTCTTTTTGTGTACTGCACTTTCTTGTACCTGACCCTCAGGGGTGTGAATGTACTCAATAAATATTGTATAATGATTGTTGTTTATATAATTAACTACATATTTTATGTTGATATCACAGCATATGATGGCTGTCAATATCACTTTAACTTTAATGTTTATCAATATATCCGTATTTAATGATTGCAAATATTTGGAAGACCCGTTAAAGTAAAGTAATCATTTCAGTCTTTCATCATCGTCTGCTTAATAAAGCAATAACCTTATTTCGAACATAGTGATAGGGTCTAATTTTAATTTAAAGTTTACACTCCAAATTTTCATTGTATATCTAGGTTTCACGTGGCTCTGAATTCAATGTTGGCCCTTTACTGATACATTAAATACCAAGTTGTAGATTAAAACAGAAACGCAGTTTCTACTGAATCAGTCATTTATCAAAGCCAGGACGAGGCTCATGACGTTACATTCAAAGGGACGCTTTAACTCATGATGTGAGTACCGTAACATGAAATTCGAAAACGCTTACATAAATCAAAATGCACTTTTTGATAAAGGACTTCAATTGGTCTGAGGTTAATATTCAAGATATCAGCGTCCATTTATTGTAACTCACGTTGGTTACCATTTGCTCACTTCGGAAAGGACGCAGCGGGGGAGATCTCCCAAAGTACAGCCATCGTATTCAGTCACGCGGTACCCATGTGCTAGATCCACATAAGGCTTATAGGACCTAATAGCCACATGGTTGGATGATTTCTGGCTTGAAATTGCGTTTTTCCAATTTACTAGAGTTTTTCAAGTAGTTTTGTGCAGTTTAAGAATATTCCGACAGCAATTATGAAAAATATGGCTACTTTATTACCCCTGGGGTCATTTCCCCAAGAACCCAATGGTTTTCCTTTAATTTTGACTAGTTTTTCATTTACATCATGAAATCTACTGCCTGATGGTGAAATTTTACAATATCGTGTCAAGAAATTGAGTATTTCATTGCATATTGCGATTTTTAGCCAAAATCACTGAACCGTGAACCAGAAAATTAGGCAAATTTGACCTACTTAGGCAAAATTTTACTAAAATTATCAATTTTTGGATATCTTTATTCCATTCAACAACCTCCTGATTTGAAAAATGATGACAAATTTGATCAGTTTTGACTCTGGCCTAGAGAATTGGGACTTTCGGGATAGTTTTAGCTCGAATTTAGTCATTCAGAGTGGACAAACACATCAAAAATTGACACTAAACTGACCAATTTTTGACTGTACCCCTGATATGTACCTTCATTCTTTGCTGGAAACCATAAGATGGAAAATTCTATCTTTATTATGAACAACAACTCATTGGCTTCCCAATTTACAACAATATATGACATCTAGGTGTCATTAAGGACGAAATTGTAGCCAAATATCGTCAAAATCAGTGTTTTTTGGGGTCAAAGCGAAAACTGCTGATTCAGCAAAAACATTAAATTTGTTCATGAAAATTCCCCTTTTTGCCTCGGTCCAGAATATGTTTCACACTAATAAACTTCAATTCTGGGCGATTCTGAGTAGTTTTAAAAATTTTTGGTCATTTCCACATGTGACTATCAGTTTAGGGCTGTTTAATAGGCCAAACAGCCCTAATTCACGTCACCTTATTAGTCAATGGGCAAAAGGGCAAACTCCTGACTTTTTCTCTCGAGTTATGGATTTATGTGACCTCACTGGCCTATCTGAGGTTCTAAAGCTATGTCTAAGCTACATTTTGACACTAAACTCAATAGGGGCTAAACATTTACTTTTTGAAATAATTGGTCAATTGTGACACTACCCCCTCTGCCGACAGAAATTAAAATTCACAAAAATGAAGGCAAAATTAATACGCCACTTGACTCAAAATTTTCCTACAGATAACCCAAATAAACGCATTTCCAGAAGAAATGGCATGTTGTCATAGCAAAAAGATGATAACTGTGCCCACATACTAGCTTACTGACTCGTCATGATCACAATTGTGTTGGGACTACATTCATTTTTGAAAACTACTTTTTTCTACGTATTAGGGCATTTTGACCATAATAAAGGAATCCAACTGACCGTTGTCCGCCATTTTGAATATCATGTGATAGATTCATATAAGGCTTGTAAGACCATATGGGAAGGCTAAGGGGAATCCCCGAATACGATAGAATATGATAGTATTATGGGAGCTACTCACTTTTTCTGGAGATTACTGGAGCTGATTTTTCCATTCAACGTAGATCCTGATTTTACAAATGTAGCAAACAATGTATAAATATATCATTAACAGAAGATATTTATAATTTTTACGAGAAATACAATATGCATATTACATCATTCTTTCTCTTTGTCAATCTAAAAAGGGATTAGTGACCATCTCTCAGAACTGTTTTCTGAAATAAATTAGATTTTTGCCAATTTAACCATATCTGGATGATTGCAGAGTATAATGAAACATTATAACATTAGGTTGTGAATGGGGTGGCTGGGGTCCTTGGCAAAATGGAAAATGTTCAACAACATGCGGACCTGGCAAAAAATATATAAGTAGAATGCGAAGAAAACTTACGGTCCCGAACGGACCATCGACGTGCCCCGGTGAATCTATCGAGACTGGATATATCAACTGTGATCAACTTTCTTGTTTTGGTAAGGAATATGTTTATGTTAAAAGTGCTTATTCCAATTTTTACCATTATCTGCTTTATATCTATTTTGTGGCTCTTGTGACGTTTATTTACTAGCATTAGGTTGTGTATGGAGTGGCTGGGGTCCTTGGCAAAATGGAAAATGTTCAACAACATGCGGCCCTGGAAAGAAGTACAAAACTAGAGTACGAAGGAAACTCACTGTTCCGAACGGACCACCGACATGCCCCGGTGACTCTAGTGAAACT